CGATATGGGTTTTCAATCCTCCCAAATGAAAGGACCCCCTGGGACCTTTCCTTATAACAGAGTTGGAAAGTGTGGTACTAGGCTAGATATCAAATCTTGTAACAGCCCACTCAGTGGTCTTTATGGTGAAGTGGGTGTTTAAGAGCACCCAATACCAAAGAACAACCTAACAGCTAAAATGATGAAATCCTGGACAACACGTCGAGCAGGGGAATCACTTATTTAGGGGGCAAAACTGCAAAATGATTGGATAAGTACGAACTTCGAACAGAATCAACACAAATCATTAGAAATAAGATGATGAGCAACCCACCTGATAAATGGTCACTGAGGGAACCATTGGACATGAGCTCATAGACAAGCGCATTGTTTCCACTTTCAATGCAATAACCAATAAGGGGAACCAAATGTCGGTGATGCAGACGAGAGAGCACCTCCACCTCCTGCGCAATCAATCACAGTATGAGCTGTGATAGTCAATCAATCATTATTCCTCACAAGCCAGTTTGCAGATGAAGGCTGCAGTCAAACCACCACTTGCTACCTTAGTTGAAGGCTAACACCGCAAAGAGACATAGAAGCAGATGAAAAATCCATACCCGTACTCGGTCACTTCAAATGATGGTATCTCAAGGCCATAGCCCTCAAAAAAAAAAAAAAAAATAATAATAAAAAAAAAATCAAGTTCAATCAACCTCGTAATTAGCTCATCCATGCACTGGCTATATCCACCGATCCCCAAAATTCCACATCATATGGTTTGCAATGTCCATGACCCATAGCGTAAATGGAGGTATTTTTCACTGTTATTGACAATTCACATCACCTTATGACGTCTGCAAAAGCAATATCGTAGTAATTCTCCCTCCTCCTCTATTCAGGTTGAGCTTCAAACCTGTGCGAGGCTACGCCCGCTTAGCCCCTACGGGGCCCTATCTACAACAAGGTCGGCCGCCCTAAGTGAAGGCAGGCACAACAGGCCCTTCGGGCCTCATTCTTCAGGGTACCCTGCAACGGGGAAATTCAGACAGTTGCGTTGCGCCAGTTGGTTGAATGAATCCAGGCCCTGGGCCGCCTGTGTAAATGAATGTGAAGCAGGCCCTGGGCTGGATACGGGTACCGGGCCAAACACAGGCCGAAAGCAGTTGGGCGCATGTAACYACTTCAGGCCCAAGGCCTGCTCTCTTCGTGACTGGGCCTGTGCCTACCGGGGCCTACTGGAAGCTTCCTGGACTGGACGCAGGCAGGCCACTTCGATATAGGGAAGGGCCTGCCTCCTCATTCGACATTCGGGTGCTGGCTGCATGCTGCATGAGCGCTGCTGCGCAATCCGCTGGCTGGCTGGCACTCACGCTCTCACGGGCGAGTAGGAGGGAGCACGCAGCCATAGCCAAGCTGCGCTGCTGTATGCWAGRTGAAGCGCAGGGTGGTCCTTGGGGTGCTAGTGGCATCTGTGCGGTGTGGATCGGGGTTGTGAGTGTTACGAGAGACATACCTGGTGCTGAAGCGTGCGACATTGGTCGCCATATGCTCGTACTTCAGGAACGCTGTTGATGTCATCATTCTGCTTCGTAGTATAGGCTAGATAGGATCTGCCACCTGTAGTCTGGGCGCCGAGCGCCAATAGGATATCAACTCTGGTTCGTAGTTGATGATGATGGGACTACTTCAGCATTGTCAATTTTGAACACTTGGTGTGTTCTTATTTGGTGTATCTCGTGATGCCAGTCTGCTGTGGTTCGAGGTCAAAACTATCTGGGCTCATATGTATGATGCGGTTTGATTGCTGAAGTTCGCTAATGCTCATCTTCCTTGCA